TCAGGTTTCAGGTTGGTCAAGCAGGACTCACGACCCCGTGCTGGCTGGGCCCGATCCCCTGGTTGTCCCGCTCATGCCTTGTGAGCGCCCTCAAGGAACCGCTCCGTGAGCGCCCTCAAGATGAACCGCTCCAATATTTATATCATATTAATAAAATAGTGCAGCTCCGCGTAAATACGTAAAATAAGTATTTCCACATCCCTGTAGATTCCTTTACGTTCACCCATGTGGAAATGCAGGGGTGCTCTATGCACCACCCCCCCCGTAGATAGATACGGCCTTGCACTGGTCGTTACTGGTCGTTACTGGTCTGTGCTGGAGGAGGCGGCTGCTCCTGCCATCCCGCACCAATCGCCGTGGCAACCAGAGGGTCCCACCCAATGACATCACCCACACAGAGGCATCGTGGGCAGGCGGCCATCTTTATTGGGGTCAGGCCACCGGGGGGGGTACAGGGGACCCAGGTGTCCGGGGGACCCGGGTGTCCGGTGCGGAGGGGACCCAGACATCTGGGTGGAGGGGACCCAAGTGTCCAGGCAAAGGGGACCCAGGTGTCCGGGGGACACGGGTGTCCGGTGCGGAGGGGACCCAGACATCTGGGTGGAGGGGACCCAAGTGTCCAGGCGAAGGGGTCCCAGACATTCAGTGCGGAGGAGACCCAGGAGTCCCGGTGCAGAGGGGACCCAGGCGTCCAGGCGAAGGGGACCCAGGTGTCTGGGTGGAGGGGACCCAAGTGTCCAGGCGAAGGGGTCCCAGACATTCAGTGCGGAGGAGACCCAGGAGTCCCGGTGCAGAGGGGACCCAGGCGTCCAGGCGAAGGGGACCCAGGTGTCTGGGTGGAGGGGACCCAAGTGTCCAGGCGAAGGGGTCCCAGACATTCAGTGCGGAGGAGACCCAGGAGTCCCGGTGCAGAGGGGACCCAGGCGTCCAGGCGAAGGGGACCCAGGTGTCTGGGTGGAGGGGACCCAAGTGTCCAGGCGAAGGGGTCCCAGACATTCAGTGCGGAGGAGACCCAGGAGTCCCGGTGCAGAGGGGACCCAGGCGTCCAGGCGAAGGGGACCCAGGTGTCTGGGTGGAGGGGACCCAAGTGTCCAGGCGAAGGGGTCCCAGACATTCAGTGCGGAGGAGACCCAGGAGTCCCGGTGCAGAGGGGACCCAGGCGTCCAGGCGAAGGGGACCCAGGTGTCTGGGTGGAGGGGACCCAAGTGTCCAGGCGAAGGGGTCCCAGACATTCAGTGCGGAGGAGACCCAGGAGTCCCGGTGCAGAGGGGACCCAGGCGTCCAGGCGAAGGGGACCCAGGTGTCTGGGTGGAGGGGACCCAAGTGTCCAGGCGAAGGGGTCCCAGACATTCAGCGGAGGAGA